TTGTAAATATTTTGTTACAAAAAGCAACTCTGTACGATCAGTGGTTGCCAAGATATTAAATTCACGCCAAGTTGAGGTTAAAGGTCAAAAGCACAATTTCCGGTCATTTCTAGAGAAAATTGTCCATTAGAGTAAATATAAATATGCATGTTTTAAACATTTTGCTGCAAAAAGCAACTCTGTACGACCAGTGGTTTTGTAGATATAGCTCCCTATATTTTTACCGCTAATTTGCGTATATATGCTAATAAGGTCGGAAAAATGGCACTTCCGGTCATTTTTGAAGGAAATGTTCCATTAGCGTAAATAGAAATATGCATGTTTTGAACAACTTTAAGAAAGAATCAACTTTCTATGACAAGTGGTTACCAAGATATAAGTACCCTACATTTTCAGAACTATTTTGCATATTTTAACTAATTTGCATATGAAGATGTGCGTAAAAAAATTGGCGATCATTAATTTTGATTGGATTCAGCATACTTCAAAGTATATATTTCATCCAAAAAACTAAAATGATCACAAAAATCCCACTGGAGTCCATTTTTCGACATATGCCCCCGGATTAGAAGCTCACTCCCAACTTCATAGAGTAAAACGATCAATGCATCATCCACGTCCACGCGAACGTGAAACGTCAGCAAATCAACCCAACACTGATCACCCATATAATATTTGTAACAGTTTTGAAAAGGTCTGTCTCGCACGCATCGGTTTATTAGTGATATAATCTTATTGCTTTAAAATGATAATTCATGATTTTAACAATCTTTGACATTTTATAATTTTCTTTACAGAATTGCAAGTTATAACTTCATTCAAACGATTGATGGAGCTTTCGAACACCTAACTGCACTTGAAAGCTTGTATGTAATTTTATACATTTATATGCTTTTAACAATAAAAACCAATTCTAAAGCGTTATCGTCATACAAAACAAATAGTTGCTAACCATTTCCCTGTGTTTCTAGAAAAATGTTTTAAATAACGTCTTGGTTTATTTCCATCATGCATCCCAAAAAAATGAATCAAATTTGTGCTTCAGAAGGGACCAACATGCTGTGACCCCCCCCCCCCCCCCCCCGAAAGCTAGTATGCATTATTCTAAAACGGTGACAAATTCCATTACTTGATTTCCAATTCTGATCCACTTCTGTATCCACTCCTGTAAATATGACAATCATACGATGGACGACTCTTACTAAAAGTGAAAAGAGTTTTGAAATGGGCGAAAAATGCGGTGACCCTTGGACGAATCTACTTCCATTCTCTTCTACAGAAACTGTCCTAAAATTCAGGCCATTTATTAATTGTTCTTTATTGGTATTATCATTGTTTCATATTTGTAGTCTGTTACGTAAAGCATTTTATGGCCCTCCATATTTCTTTGCAACATTTAGTACGATTGAAAACTTGATCTTTGTCAAACTAAGGCTAATACGGTGAGCGTTCTTCGTATATATAGCCAGTCAGCTGTCTGCAACAGTCTCTGTAGAGTGCCTTAAAACTCGCATATTAAAAGATACGGTACTTATTATTACATGATCCATGCTTCTTTGTAAGTCTAATTATTTTTCAATCCTCTTTTTACTATCTCATCAAACATTTCACAATAACCAAGTATTTTATGCAATAAAATTGAAATCATTTACAAGTCTTAATCGATCGTTTCATACACAATACATATTAATGATATTTTTGACTACATATCGTAACTCGTAAACGTAGATATCTTATTTTAGCAAAACGACATAGTTTGTGCTTCACTAAATTGATTATTTTACAAAATTATAATTACGCAATAGTCGACAACTGTATTATAAAGATATCATGCCCTAGTAATTAATTACTATTTTAAATATTTTTTTTAATCATTTTCAGGGATTTGGATGGTAATAGAATAACGGTCATCAATAACGGAACCTTCAAAGACACAACGAAACTGAAATATTTGTAAGTATCTGAAGTATTACTTATCATGCAATTTTTCGCATTTTATTTTTCCAAAAGAAAATAATTTTTGCCTGTGTTTGTAAAAACACAAATATACAAATAATGATTAAATAGTACCTTTTGTAGATTCTGCCTTACCCTTTTAAATTCCAGTTTCAATTTATTTTTTATTCTATTTGAAAAAAATACACAGATATGAAAAGATGACCAAACAAAAAAGCAAAGCTCGTAAAATGTTTGGTCAATAAATAAGATAATTTAAACAATTTAAAAGGATAATCAAAAGTACCGGACGAGACAAAAGACTAACAGAAACAAGTATAATAATAATAATAATAATAATAATAATAATAATAATAATAATAATAATAATAATAATAATAATAATAATATTATGATATAAAACAAATGCAAGTATAATATTGAAGACCTAGGTTATTTGCATCAGAGTTCTTATTGGTATGTTGAAAGTAATTTATTTTTATATAGCATTTGAATATTTTGATGGATGAAGAATTACAAGTAGAAGCATAAATACCACTTCAATTGGGCTCTGCCCCCTGAGAGTGTTACTAGACATATCTGTGACAAAGTTGTATGGACGAAACATATCATAGGATATGATGCCATAATTATATAATGCATTTACCTTAACAAAAACAAATTGAGAAATTGTCTGGTAATATATTTATATATTTATACATAAAGACACCTTTTGAATGTCATATTTATAATCTATTTCCCAAAACCAACAGTCTAATATACATGATCATACTAGATTTGCTAAAAGTAACGTTTTATTTGAAAAATATACATCCTCTTCCAGAAAAAAAAATCCATATTTTTCACTAGTCCAAAATTATGGAATTCCTTAAAAATTTTCTTTAAATCCTTACCTAATCTCAACTCTTTTAAATACAATCTTAAAAAGTCTCTGGTCTCGAAGTATGGCCGGTAAGTCTCCTGGTCTGTCTGTCAGTCATTCTTATTTATACTTAACGGACTGCCACCATATGTATGCGTTTGTTTGTGCGTGTGTTTGTATATATGTGTATATATATATATGTACTGTATAATATATATATATATATATATATATATATATATATATATAGGCCTATATAATATATATATAGGCCTATATAATATATATATATATATATATACATATGATATTGAAGGAAGTTAACCGTTAACACTGTTGAATGAATATGTTAACGGCTAACTTCCTTCAATATCCTATATAATATACGACAGCATTCCTAGCCGTATTGCCAGATTTATCTGGCCGAAAGCCCTCTTGAGGCGTAGTAGTGTAATACAATGTTCCCGACGATTATTTGGACCTGTTCAACCATGGAGCATTCGTGGTCTAGTGTTTGTGGCGCTCGCCTTGTCAGCGAGAGATCGCAAGTTCGAATCCCGTATTACACAATGACTTTTTATAGGACTTAATTCTAAACTTATTTTTGCCTCCTTCCACACACTTATTCTGTAATGCACTATTATTCTTAGTTGGTTTTAGTATTAGGGTTTTGTTATGTATGTTCATATTATGTTCATGTGTGTGGAGAAATAAATTAAACAGACAAACAAACAAATACACATTCTCTTGGAAGTCTGAATTTGTACATAGACGTACAGTATTATGCGTTTGTGCGTAAGGAATACTATTTCAAGATTGCAATTATTGCAAGTCAATATTGAATATGTGGAAGGACTGAGTCTTGTATAAAGATGATAAGACATTAAAATGTAAAATTTTCTTCAGTCGAAAAAGTATACCGAGATATTTTGAAACTAATTTGGCTATATGGATTGTATGATGATATAAAATTAAGCATTTGTCCATCATTACACCTAGAAATTTACAACACGAAAAATATTATCATCAATAACAATTTTAAGGTCATTGTAAATACAGTTACTATTATCTATTCTTGAATATCATATAATTGGTTTTATTAACATTAAACGATAACTTGTATGTGTTATGCGTTCTAAGATCTTTAAGAAAACAGGAAAAATAAAAATTGGCCAATAATTACAAAATTTATAGAACTCACCGCCTTTGAAATCTGAAATTACCTCGACAATTTTGAGTTTTTTTTTTTTTCCACCGGTAATCAGGGATAAATAAAAAATATCGTCACCTTCTTCACGAAGAGACACAAACTTAAATATAGACCAATACAACGTACAAATCCGTAAATTCTACTATAAAGACATCACAATTTTGAATATTTATTACATTATGTTTAAAGATAAAGCATTAAACAATTCTAATGTTTAATTTATTTTTCTTTTCATACTTTAATCAACTTGTTGGATAGCCTAAACAATTTTGTCTGTTATTGAAAACGATAAGAATTTACCAAGCATGTTGTTTACACGTACAGCAAAGTTTTGTCTTTTCTTGAAAAAAAATCTCAATTTACGCGCTGTACGCGCTCTGTTGTCAGACACAAATTTTGTTAACGCCTATTGTATTGGTTCTCCATTGTAGTCAAGGGTGAATATAGACCTACAGACTAGATTTATCCTGCTAAAACCATTATATTTTTACTAATAACAATTCCATACTTGATGCATGTGTATAGGCCTATTCCTGTCTCTTATACACATCTAGATGTGTATAAGAGACAGCTAGTATGCATTATTCTAAAACGGTGACAAATTCCATTACTTGATTTCCAATTCTGATCCACTTCTATTCATTGTCGACATAGGTTTCTTTTATGATGCTAATGATTTTATCGTGTATGCCCTATGCTTTCATTATTAGGCTGTCTTGGTATACTGAATTGAAGGCCCTTTCAGGGTCTATGAAGTTGAGATATGACGTCAATTATGTTTCTTAGTTTCAATATTTGTTCTTCTGTGTTCATCCCTTTTCTGAGCCTGCTTGTTCTTTTCAAAGCCCTTTGTTTAACTGCTCTTTTATTCTGTTAATAATAATTCTTCCAAATATTTTGCCTGCTTTTGGCAGCAAGGTTATTCCCTTCCAATTTCCAATACTACTAAGTTCTCCTTCTTAGGTAGGCCTATTCTTTTGATTAGCCCTTTTCTCCATCTTTTCGGAATAGATTCCTGATCCCATATTTTATGCTTTCTGGACCTTAGAACCTCTTTCGCAGTTTCTTTATATGCCTCCACGAACTCTTTCCATTCCGTGTTTATGTATTTTTTTCTTGATTGGTTCTGTATCTGTTTTTTCTTTCCTTGTTCCTGTCAAATTCCTAAAATAGTGAAGCCCTTCTGTCACTGCAAATCTGTTTGTTAGCACTCTTGTAAATGTAGCTTTAATATCCGGGTTTTCTAACTTTCCTACATCAACCCTTTAGGATCTTACTATCTTCTTGCTTTCAATTTCGCTCTTATCTTTGCAACTAATAAATAATGGTCGCTGCCAACATCCGCCCCTCTCATGACCCTTGTGTAGAGGACCTGTATTTTCTGCTTACCAGAATGTAATCAATTTGGTTTGTTGTTTTATCATCTGTTGATGTCCATGTCGTTTTGTGTATGTTTTTGTGTGGACCATTACTATTCTCTCGTTTGCCAGATTCGATTCTATTACCGATTTTTCCGCCTGCTTCGAGACCATTATTGCCACTCCACTTTGGTGTACTCCATCTTCTCTGACTGAGTAATATACAGTTTCTCCTGTCACTAATCTCACTTTGCCACTGTCAGTCCATCTGTACTTACTTATTCCTAATATATTTATAAGAAGGGTCCTCATCTCCTTTGCTATCTCTGCTGATTTTCCAGTTGCGTACATAAAATGGACATTCCAGTTCCCCATTCGAACTGTGATATTTGGTTCATGAGGGACGTTGTCGTCCATAGGCTTCCTTTCGGCTTTCACCTATACACTTCATTTTGCTTGGATCTTTCACGAATCTGATATCGTTTTCGTCTATGATCTGGCACGTCACCGCACTTCCGCCGGGATTTTTGCGTTATTGGTTTCTCTAATCAATGCTTTTTTTACAGATAAAGTTAATTAATACCGAAATGATATATTTTATTATTATTATTATTATTATTATTATTATTCTTATTCTTATTCTTATTATTATTATTATTATTATTATTATTATTATTATTATTATTATTATTATTATTATTATTAGCAGCAGCAGCAGCAGTAGTAGTGTTACAGACGTGCATCCCATAAATCGGTAGGCCAACCGTAGGTAAACATAGAAAGAACAATAATAGTAATGTTCAAGCGTCACGACATTGCAAAGTACCTGATTTCTTGTTTCTAATAATAAACTTAGTATCGTGTCAAGTTACAATCAAGTGACTCGAGTGAAGTTTCGTGTACATGGTTTGTACGGAATTAAACATACAAAAATGCCTAGGAAAGTAAGGGAATTTAATCTTACCTCTAGCCCTACCCCAACCAGGCCTCATCTACCTGATCACAACAATTGCAACGCCGACGCGCGTCTTCTGACGACCTAATGAAAGTTTATATGTCTCTTCTTGAAAACAAAAAATCATTTTTTCTGTTTGTGTGCAATGACTAATTAGCCTAATTAGCTAAATAGTGTAGTTGCACTCTTAACGATTAGTTGAAAAGGTAAAGTTCGATGTACATTATCAAGATGACAAAGAAAAAAAAATGAAAAAAAAAAATATGATTTTTGAACTTTCTGTCTTTTCGTGGTGTCGGTGACGATATGAACAAGTGGAGGCGCTATTAATTTGCAAACTTGTTTAACAAAATCAGGTTTAACAAAGTGAAAACTGCAGCTAGCACTTGATTTTAAATTTTTGTAAATTGATAAAACTCATTTTTATCAGTTGGCACTAAAAGAAAGAGCGTAAGGTGAATTTTAGGTTATTTATAAAACATTTAAAATCAGAAACCGATTAAGGAATTTTAAGCGACTAATCAAGACCAATTTAACAAAATATTTATTAACGTTAGAAATAATTTGTGAATTAGAAATCATGCGTATCATATAATTAGAATCGTAGTGTAG